CCAGCACTTTGGAGGCCGCCGAGGCGGGCAGATACGCGGCGCTCCGCTCGAGATCGAGACTGCGGACATCCTGGCTAACAGGTCAAACTTCTCTCTCACCGCTACCACTTTCCGCGCCAACATAACAAATTAGCGCATGCACGCCCAGTGCATTTTGTCACGGGCGCCTGTAAGTTCCCAGCGCACTGGGTGAGTCCTGAGAGGGCAGGAAGAATGGAGCAATGGAACTTGCCAACGCTGGAGGCAAGAGCTTGCAGTGAGGCCAAGATCCCGCCGCCCACCTGCAACTCCAGCTGGGCCGACCGCAGCAGGAACCTCCATCTCAAAAAAAAAGACTTCAATCCGCGACTGGGAATGCTGGGGCTTATACCACTGTAATCCCGCAGTGTTAGGAAGGTCGCTTGGAGCTCAGAGTTCAAGCTACCAGCCCCTGAGCCACATGGTGAAAACCCCTCCTCTACCAAAACTACACACAACAAAGACTGGGCTTGGTGGTGGTGTGCTCTGTAGTCCCAGCCTACTGCAGGAGAACCTGAGGGGAATGGATCCGCTTGAGCACTGGAGGGAGCAGAGGTAGCCAGCGAGCACCTTGTCTCCACCACGGCATTCCATCCAGCAAACCATAGTAAGACCTCATCTCATAAAATAAAAATACCTTCATTCCCAGCTTCATTTGCCTACTGGCGTGGGGGTTGCTCTCTCAATGCGTGGGGTTCTTTCTTTACCTTGTTGTCCACCTATGTTCATTTGACAGAGAAAAGAACTCAGCCCCAGTCCTCTGCCTCCAGCAGTTCCCCTGCCTGGGATGGAAAATTGGGAGGGCCTTCGGAGAAAGCAGATTATTCTTATCTGACCATGAGTTCACCAAATGGGATAGTTCCAAGTTGCCATCACTCCTATCTGTCAGACGACTCCTTTGCAGAGATGTACTGAATAGAGACAGAGTGACCCTGAGAAAGCCACGATGTTTAAGGCACCAGATAAATTCAGTGGGGCTAAAAGGAGAGCAACCAGGGCAGGCTTCCTGGAAGAGGACTTTTTTGGAGAGCATGTGCCTCAGTCTCCTCCATGGGGCCTAAAGAAAGTGTCGTAGGCCGGGCGCGGTGGCTCAAGCCTGTAATCCCAGCACTTTGGGAGGCCGAGACGGGCGGATCACAAGGTCAGGAGATCGAGACCATCCTGGCTAACACGGTGAAACCCCGTCTCTACTAAAAAATACAAAAACCTAGCCGGGCGAGGTGGCAGGCGCCTGTAGTCCCAGCTACTCAGGAGGCTGAGGCAGGAGAATGGCGTGAACCCGGGAGGCGGAGCTTGCAGTGAGCTGAGATCCGGCCACTGCACTCCAGTCTGGGCGACAAAGCGAGACTCTGTCTCAACAACAACAAAAAAAAGAAAGTGTCGTCTGGGTCAGGCAAGGTGACTCATGCCTGAAATTCCAGCACTTTGGGAGATTGAGGTGGGAGGATCACTTGAGGCCAGAAGTTAAAGACCAGCCTGAGCAACATAGCAAGACTCCATCAATACAAAAAAATTTAAATATTAGTTGGGCATGGTGACACACACCTGTGGTCCCAGCTACTCAGGAGACTGAGGTGGGAGGATCTTTTGAGCCCAGGAGGTCAGGGCTACAGTGAGCTATGATCCCGCCACTGCACTCCAGCCTGGGTGACAGAACAAGACTGACTCAAAAAAAAAAAAAAAGAAAGAAAGAAAGAAAAAAGAAAAAAAGAAAAAGAAAAACAGAGAGGAAGTGAAATGAGAAAGTGGGAATCTGGGAAGGTGCTGGCACTACTGAGGGGCAAGGTGAAGGGACACAGAGGAGAAGGCCGTGGCAGGGGCAGCAGGGAGGCAGGGCTGGCAGTAGAGGGTGGAGCTGAGGAACAAAGTCACACACAGGCACAGAGGGCAGAGGTCACAGGACATGGTGGCCTGGAGGAGCTCAAAGGGACCAGCTGGGATGGGTGACCACAAGAGAAGAGGAGAGGTGGGAGGGGGAGAAGGAAGGAGACCACATAGCAGCAGTGGGTCAAATGCCACAGAGAAGTCAGGGACTGGCCTGGGCCTGGGGAGAGGATGGGGGATGTGAAAGGGAGAGGCTGGGAGGCTCGCAGGAAGTGAGAACCATGATGTGCCCACTTCCCACCAAGTTGCCCAGGTCTCCCTGCTCTGCTCCTGCAGTCTGCCCTGCTCCTGTGCCCTGCCCGTCTAGCCTGGCATCCTTCATGGGAAGTGAGGGGCACTAGGTGGGGTGACAAATGGGCAAAGAGAGCAAAGGAGAAGGCTGAGGGGCTGGGTGTGGTAGCTCACGCCTATAATCCCACCACTTTGGGAGACTGAGACAGATAATCCATTGAGTCCCGGAGTTCAAGACCAGCCGGGGCAACATAGCAAGACCCTATCTCTACAAAAAATACAAAAATTATCCAGGCATGGTGATGCACATCTGTAGTCCCAGCTACCCGGGAGCCTGTGGTGCGATGGGAGAATTGCTTGAGCCCAGGAGGTAGAGGCTGCACAGAGCTATGATCGAACCACTGCACTCCAGCCTGGGTGACAGAGTGAGACCCTGTCTCAAAACTTTTTTTGTTTGTTTTTTTGTTTGTTTTTTTGTTTTGTTTGTTTCTTTTTTGAGACAGAGTTATCCAGGCTGGAGTGTAGTGGCAAAATATCAGCTCACTGCAACCTCCGCATCCTGGCCTCAAGTGATCCTCCCACCTCAGCCTCCAGAGTAGCCAGGACCACAGACACATGTCACCACTCTTGTCTAATTTTTCTATTTTTTGTAGAGATGGGGGTCTCGCTATGTTGCCCAGGCTGGTCTTGAACTCCTGGCCTCAAGCAGTCCTCCCATCTCGGCCTCCCAAAGTACTGGGATTACAGGTTGAGCCATTGCGTCTGGCCCCACTGATCTTTTACTGTCCTCATAGTTTTGCCTTTTCCAGAATATCCTATAGTTGGAATCAGACAGTATATAGCCTTTTCAGATTGCCTTTTTTTTTTTTTTTGAGACAGAGTTTAGCTCTTGTTGCCCAGGCTAGAGTGAAATGGCGTGATCTCGGCTCACTACAACCTCCGTCTCCCAGGTTCAAGCGATTCTCCTGCCTCAGCCTCCCGGGTAGCTGGTATTACAGGCATGCACCACCACACCTGGCTAATTTTGTATTTTTAGTAGAGACGGGGTTTCACCATGTTAGCCAGGGTGGTCTCAAACTCCTGACCTCGGATTCACCTGGCTCGGCCTCCCAAAGTGCTGAGATTACAGACGTGGGCCACCACGTCCGGCCTTTTCTTTTAATAGAGACAGGGCCTTGCTATGTTGCCCAGGCTGGTCTCGAACTCCTGGCCTCAAGTGATCCTCCTGCCTCAACCTCCAAAAGTGCTGGGATTATAGGCATGAGCCATTGCACCTGGCGAAAAAAAAATTAAAAAAAAAGAGAGAGAGAGAGAAAGAAAGAGGCCGGGTGCGGTGGCTCACACCTGTAATCCCAGCACTTTGGGAGCCTGAGGTGGGTGGATCACTTGAGGTCAGGAGTTCCAGACCAGCCTGGCCAACATAGTGAAACCCCGTCTCTATCAAAAATATTAAAAATTAGCTGGGTGTGGTGGTGGGCACCTGTAATCCCAGCTACTCGGGAGGCTGAGGCAGGAGAATCGCTTGAACCCGAGAGGTGGAGATTGCAGTGAGCCGAGATCGCGCCACTGCACTCCAGCCTGAAGGACAGAGTAAGACTCTGTCTCAAAATAAATAAATAAATTAAAAATAAAAATAAAAAAAATAAAGAGGGCTGAGGGCTGGATCTGAGGCGGTGCAACTTCTGTCTGGGGCAGGGGGCCTGGCTTGGTTCCTGCCAGCCTCTCCTGGAGATGGGGAACGAGGAATGGAGGTGCAGCTGGGGAGGTGGAGCTGGGGAGGTGGAGCTGGGGAGGTGGAGTTGGGGAGGTGGAGCTGTGGAGCTGGAGCTGGGGAGGTGGGACAGAGCCCAGAAGTTGATGGCGTCGGTGAGCCAGGTCCGCATCCCCGTGCAAGGGCTCACCCCGAACCCCGTCTCACCCTCTAGGGCAGCAAGGAGCGCTTCCACTGGCAGAGCCACAACGTGAAGCAGAGCGGCGTGGACGACATGGTGCTCCTTCCCCAGATCACCGAAGACGCCATTGCCGCCAACCTCCGGAAGCGCTTCATGGACGACTACATCTTCGTACCCTGGGCCAAGGATGGAGGCGGGCAGGCAGGGAAGGAATGAATGGCTGGGCCATGGACGGAGAGGAGGGTGATGGAGCAGAGGGAGGGATGGGCCGGGAGAGCACCAGGCGGTGAGACAGAGGACAGACAGAGTGACAGCAGGGCTCTGGTTGGGGGCAGCTGTGGCTGCCACTGCTCCCTCTGTCCTGGAGAAGCTCAGCCCCAGTGTGTTCCGTTTCCCCCATTCCACATCCACCCTGTTTTTTTCTTTTCTTTCTTTTTTTTTTTTTTTTTTGAGATGGAGTCTTGCTCTGTCGCCCAGGCTGGAGTGCAGTGGCAACAATCTCGGCTCACTGCAACCTCTGCCTCCCTGATTCAAACGATTCTCCTGCCTCAGCCCCCCAAGTAGCTGGGATTACAGGCATGAGCCACCATGCCTGGCTAATTTTTTTGTTTTTGTGTTTTGTTTTTGAGACTGAGTGGCTCTTGTTGCCCAGGCTAGCATGCAATGGCACAATCTCAGCTCACTGCAACCTCTGCCTCCCAGGTTCAAGTGATTCTCCTCTCTCAGCCTCCCAAGTAGCCAGGATCACAGGCACGCATCACCATGCTCGGCTAATTTTTTGTATTTTTAGTGGAGACAAGGTTTCGCCATGTTGGCCAAGTTCGTCTTGAACTCCTGACCTCAAGTGATCTGCCTGCCTCGGCCTCCCTAAGTGCTGGGATTACAGGCATGAGCCACCGCACCCGGCCAGCCCTGTTTTTTCCAAGAGACTCGAGGTGCATCCAATATCTCCATCTCTTCCACCTCCAAGCAATGCAGTTCTGGGAAGCCCTGGGTGGGGACAGGATGAGGGGACAGGGAGGACAAAACCTACCAGTACACTGCACGACCCTTAACCATCCCTCAGACCTACATCGGCTCTGTGCTCATCTCCGTAAACCCCTTCAAGCAGATGCCCTACTTCACCGACCGTGAGATCGACCTCTACCAGGGCGCGGTGAGGCTGGGGCTGGGTGGGAGGCAGAGGCTGGCGCTGGGTGGGAGGCACAGCCCCGAGACCTCTAGCCCCCAGCCCTGGGCTGAGACCCGACCTCCCCCACCAGGCCCAGTATGAGAATCCCCCGCACATCTACGCCCTCACGGACAACATGTACCGGAACATGCTTATCGACTGTGAGAACCAATGTGTCATCATTAGGTATGGACGGGGTTGGGGCGCCACAGACCCTGCTGCCCAGGCCCCCACTGAAACATCATCACTGCCCCCAGGGAGGTTTGCCTGAAACTCCCAATCTGAACACAGCCCTGCTGTCCCTCTCTGCCCTCACCCTGTTTTATTTTCCTTGTCACCATCTGACTCACAGTGTATTTTATTGATTCATTCTGCTATTGTCTGTCTGTCCCCTCTAAATGTCACCTCAGGCCAGGTGTGGTGGCTTATGCTTGTAATCCCGGCACTTTGGGAGGCCAAGGCAAGAGGATCTCTTGAGGCCAGGAGTTCAAGACCAGCCTGGGCAACATGGCAACACCCTGTCTCTATAAAAATAAAATAATTAGCCACGCACTGTGGTGCATGCCTGTAGTCCACAGCTACTCAGGAGGCTGAGGAGGGAGGATTGCTTGAGCCCAGGAGTTCCAGGCAGGAACAGGGGGCTATGATCACACCACTGCACTCCAGCCTGGGCAACAGAATGAGACCCCATCTCAGTCAATCCATCTATACCAGCTCTATGAGAGCAGAGAGAGAGAGAGAGAGAGAGAGAGAGAGAGAGAGTGTGTGTGTGTGTGTGTGTGTGTGTGTGTGTCAGAGTCTCAGTCTGTCACCTAGGCCGGAGTGCAGTGGTGCAACCTCAGCTCACTGCAACGTCCGCCTCCCAGATTCAAGCAATTCTCCTGCCTCAACCTCCTGAGTGGCTGGCTGGGATTACAGGTGCCTACCACCATGTCCGGCTAATTTTTGTATTTTAACAGAGTCTGGGTTTCACCATGTTGGCCAGGCTGGTCTCAAACTTTTGACCTCAAGTGATTCTCCCTCCTCAGGCCCCCAAAGTGCTGGGATTATAGGATTATATGAGCCACCATGCCCAGCTGAAAGCAGAGATTTTATCTGTCTTGTTCATTATGGCATCCCCAGTACCTGGAATACTGGCAGGCACACAGTAGGTGCTTAATGAATAAATAGGCACTAAAAAGGGCTCTTCCCCCCAACCCCATCCACTGATCATTTATTCCTCCATTCATCCCCAGTGGAGAGAGTGGAGCTGGGAAGACAGTGGCAGCTAAATACATCATGGGCTACATCTCCAAGGTGTCTGGCGGAGGCAACAAGGTCCAGGTGAGACGAGAAAAACAGAAGGATGAGCTGGGTCGCCCTCACCTGCATGGTAGTGCAGCCCCACTCATCTGCACTCCTGCCCCAGTCTGACCTCTTCCCACCCGACCTGCCTCTGCCCCCAGCATGTCAAAGATATCATCCTGCAGTCCAACCCGCTGCTCGAGGCTTTCGGCAACGCCAAGACTGTGCGCAACAATAATTCCAGCCGCTTTGTGAGTCTCTGCAGCTCTGCTTGGAGAAGCTGCTCCATCTGTGCTGACCTTTCTACACACACAACCACACATACACACATCTGCATTGCCAGGATAAGAGCCCATTGGAAACCCAGCAGGAAATACCTGCTCCTGAATGGGAGACTCACTTCCTGCTCATGGTCCATTTCAAAAGGGAGTCCCCCACTGGCAGAACTGTGGAGGCCATGACACCCCTGTGTAACATTCTTAAATGCTCCCTGGCTGCAGCCATGCTACATTGTTCCCATTCACATTTCAGGTCCAATTTAGTCCCTCATTTATTCTTTCTTTCGACAATAGTTCTGGGACTCGTTCTTTGTGTGGGTGCTGTGCTGGGCCCAGTGGAAGACAGGATAGGTAAAGAGATCTGAATTCAGGGTCTGATTCTGTCATTGTGAGCTGTGTAGCCTGGGGGAAAAAAATGATGTAACTTCCTGAGTTTCCTTTGTTTGCTCATCCATAAAATGGGGATGATGTTAATATCCATCTCATAGACTTTAGTATTACACCTGCACATGCACATGGTTTACTAAATTCCATACCCCTGGACTGGGTACGGGGGGGCTCACGCATGAAATCCCCGCACTTTGGGAGGCTGGGACAGGTGGATCACTTGAGGTCTGGAGTTCAAGACCAGCCTGGCCAACATGATGAAACCCCGTCTCTACCAAAACTACAAAAATTAGCTGGGCGTGGTGGCGGGCACCTGTAGTCCCAGCTACTCAGGAGGCTGAGGCAGGAGAATGGCTTGAACCCGGGACGTGGATGTTGCAGTGAGCCGAGATAGCGCCACTGCACCCCAGCCTGGGCAACAGAGTGAGACTCTGTCCCAAAAAAAAAAAAGGAAGAAGGGAAGAGAGGCAAGGCTCATAAGACCCATCCCTAATCCTTCCCCGACCTGCACCCCAGGATGCTGGGGTGCTGACATGGTTCTCTCGAATTCAGGGCAAGTACTTTGAGATCCAGTTCAGCCGAGGTGGGGAGCCGGATGGGGGCAAGATCTCCAACTTCTTGCTGGAGAAGTCCCGCGTGGTCATGCAGAATGAAAATGAGAGGAACTTCCACATCTACTACCAGGTGCAGGGAAGAGGCTGGGGGAGACTGAGCCCCACCTGGAGCCCAGCAGGGTGGACAATGGGAAAGTACATGCCTGGGAGGGCATGGCAGGGCAGATGGGGGGATCACAGGGGCTGAGCCAGGCAAGCACCAGATGCATGAACATTGCACACCCTCCAGCTGCTGGAAGGGGCCTCCCAGGAGCAAAGGCAGAACCTGGGCCTCATGACACCAGACTACTATTACTACCTCAACCAATCGGACACCTACCAGGTGGACGGCACCGACGACAGAAGCGACTTTGGTGAGACTCTGGTGAGCACCGGCCTCCACTCCAGTCCCCAGCCAGGCAGACCTCAGCCCCAGAAACTCCCCTGAGTTACAAATTAGGAAAACAAAGCCCAGCCCAGGCACAGTGGCTCACGTCTGTAATCCCAGCACTTTGGGAGGCCGAGGCAGGCAGATGATTTAAAGTCAGGAGTTTGAGGCCGGGCGCGGTGGCTCAAGCCTGTAATCCCAGCACTTTGGGAGGCCGAGCCGGGGCCCTGGAGTACAGTGGCCGGATTCTCAGCTCACTGCAAGCTCCGCCTCCGGGTTTGCGCCATTCTCCTGCCTCAGCCTCCCGAGTAGCTGGGACTACAGGCACCGCCACCTCGCCCGGCTAGTTTTTTGTATTTTTTAGTAGAGACGGGTTCACTGGGTAGCCGCAAGATGGTCTCGATCTCCTGGACCTCAATGATCTGGCCCAGCCCGCCTCGGC